AGAAAATAAAAAGCAAGTTAAGTGCCTTTCAGGCGGCTTCTTCCCAGTCAGCAGTTTTCATAGCCCAATACTGAAATATTGCCATACACAATTGTGTTTGAGATCATATTTAAATATTTAAAATATATCTACAGTATGTTTTAGTTTTATTTATGAGATAATTTTTGAATGTTGAGTATGAAATGTAAAAATAGTCACAAATGTCTTTACCAGAAATAAAAACATATCTAGGGTAGTCAGCGAATTCAAAGCAAACATTTCATAGTCACACACTAATACTGAGGTCTGTAAAAAGGGGTTGGATCAATGATATACATAAAAGATATATTAGTTCCAATACTATCCATTATTGTTTCTATCACCAATACTTAAAAAAAAATCGGTTATACAATCAAAATAGGCTGACACTGATAACTATTGTGTAAAAATAGTGCACTGTCTTCTGCAAAGCAAATTTGCATCCTAAGAGCTGGTAAACACTTGTTCTTTTTTGTTTTTAAATACAGAAAAGGGTTGAGACTTGAAAAAAAATTAAATTAAGGCATTCAAAATGGGTAAAGTTGCCTATCATGAAGCATTAGGAAACTACGTTCAAACTTTTTGTTACAGTAACTGCTTAAGCATGAACATGCAGTTCCATCAGGCACACACAGATGAGTGACATAAACCCCAACATCATGGCTTTATACAAGTGCATAGTTGCAACTGTAATAAGTAATGATATCTGATTAATGTATATAAAAAAATAAAGCGGGAAGTTTAAAAAACCCTCTTGCAGTATTACAGTACTATATATGTGTGTGTGTGCGTGTGTGTGTGTACATATACACATATACACATACACACACCCCCAGTAATAATGGTCACTTCGTAAAGATGCAGTCTGTGCCACTGTAGTGGAATCCATTCCCAGAGTCTTCTGGTAAGTGTGCTGGTGAAATCTCTCTGTTGAAGCCAAAAAGATGATTTCTTTAACTCTTCTCAATCTTTTTGTGCAATGTAGTGTGAGCGACTGCCAAGAGAGCTCTATGGGACAAGTGTGGAAGAGTTGCACATGATATTCTTACTCTATTAACCAATCACTGTTAGTTCAACTTGTTGCTCCAAAGGAGCCCAGAAAAATATCTCCAAGATTTATAATTTATATTGCAGGAATAAAGGGGACATAGATATATGTACGTGTGTGTGTGTCTGTCTCTCAGGAAAATATAGCTTTTTAGTAAATTTTGGGCCATCATATTTCAGTCTTGTTTTAACCGGAAGAATATGATCACCTCCAATAATGACTGCATTCACAGAAGGCAGTTAGCTGGAAAGAAAGGAAAAATAAAGTTAGACAATGAAATAATCTGAGACTTTTTAATTTGAAAAGGCATTCCATGTACATCATTAAACTGTATAGTCTTCCAACTACTATACTTTTAACACCGAAATCATGCATAAACACATTTATTGTATTACTTTTCTTATTTTTAGGTACATGCAATTATATTCTTTTTCGTATTTTCCCATATTGGCTACACACACGACACAGGCTTTAATATACTTAGCTGGCTATTGGGGTTATTAAACAATGTGTCACTGAACGTAACTTTGACTTGGGGTTTAACTGCTAGCTGCCTCATGTAGCTGAAGGGAACAGTGGACTTATGGACCAGGTTCTACTTGACTATTTGACCCTTAGCCACATTTTTAAAATCTGTGAAATGGGAACGCACACATTGTAGTAAACATATGTGAAAATACTCTGTACATCTGGTTGCAGACAGACCCCAACATGACACAGTTTAAGTGCACGTTTTACAGTGTGCTAACTCAAGGTAGAACAGGCCTTCTTTGAACTCTATTCCATGTAAAAGATTTAACTCATGAGGTTCAATTTTCATTCAAATATCCTTCAGCCACTATTAACCAAACTATTTTACATTTTCTAAAAGCGCAAGAACTTTCACAGCGTATCATTAGCACTCTTCGGCAAGAGTAACATTAAATTTCCAAAAAGCAAACATTTCACAGCATCACAAAGAAAACAAGCTCAGAAACGACTATTTCACAGCACTTATTAGACTTACAAAGTTTTTATGGTTTCAATTCTTGCAAGTTAGAAAGAAGGAAAGAGGAGG